TCAACGGCGACTCACGGTAGCCCAAGCTCTAGGTCGGGCTGTTGTTCACCATCTCAGCTGTAGAGGACAGTGTCACTGGCCCTCATGTGGGATCCGAACCCCGGCCCTGCTGCTCAGAGCTGGCATCCCAAGCCAGCTCTTAACCAATGTGCCACTCGGCCGGCCCAATAATATATTTTCTTTAAGATTGTTTTCCACACTGTGTCAGAACCTTGAGGACAGGAGCCGTACCATTTCTTTTGCCTCCCACCCCACCCCTCCCCCCCAAAAAAACCCCTAAAACCATATTGGAATGTTTTAGGAGAAAATTTTAGCTAAAGTTCAGGGGTTAAGTTACCTTATTCCTATAACTCCAAGAATAATACACAGGTTATTTTTATGTTAGTGATAATAGTTCAGAACTCTCAGGGGCACTGACAAAACTGTTCTATAGGAAAATTTCTTTTATTTTCTGCTGAAAAGAAAATTTAATGAAAACCAAATATTACCCACTGCTATGGTATGAATGTTTGTTCCCCACTCCCTCTAAATTCATATATTGAAATCCTAATCCTCAAGGATGATACCCATAGTGATGGTATTAGAAGGTGGGGCCTTAGGGAGGTGCTTATGTAATAAGGGTGGAGCCTTCATGAATGACATTAATAGTCTTATAATAGACATTCCAGAGAGAGCCCTAATGCTTTTGGCCAAGTGAGGACACAGCAAAAGGACACTGGCTTTGAACCAATAAAGAGACTTCACCAGAATATGACCGTGCTAGTGCCTTGATCTTGGACTTCCCAGCCTCTAGAACTGTGAAAAATAAATTTCTGTTGTTTATAAACCATCCATCCAGTCTTTAGTATTCTGTTATAGCAACCTGAATGGACTAGGACACCATCCCAGTGTCTTTATCTCATCTCTTGCAAATGGTTTGAAAATTCTAATGCCCACCCTATCAGCAAGGGGGGCAACACCACCAGGAAACAGCCCAGGCTCTGATTCTCTCTCTTGAGGTTACATGCTCCCCCTTTTATATGTCAGAGGATTGGTAGTAATGCCAGCCAGGAACAACTTTCCTTCTTTTAAAAAAAAAATTCTTTTTTTTCTTTATTTTATTTTATCTTTAAAATTTTATTGGGGAACAATGTGTTTCCCCAGCTTTAAGTCAAGTAGTTGTCTTCAATGGAACTGTGGAGGGCACTGCTCCCCGGCCCATGCAGGGATTGAACTGGCAACCTTGGTGTCATAAGCCTGCGCTCCAACCACTTGAGCCAACTGGCCGTCCCACAATTTTCCCTTTCTTATTTGAGGCACAGAGAAGGAAGCATCCTCTATTCTGTAACTGTTATTACAAATTAGAAATGTGCAGACAGTCTCAAATTTTATACATATGAGCTATACCACTAGCTCCCCTAAATGTGAAGAATCTGGCATTTTCAATTCATCTTGGGTCATTTTTTTTT